CACAATTTATTAACATACTCTTTTTTAGGTTCATTTAGGTTCTTTTGATAACGATAGCAGAAAATACCTATCGAAACGTCAAGGTAATTTTTCAAATTAATTTCTCTACTAATTGGAATTTTTGAGGCGAAATACCCAAAAAGAAGTTTGTAAAAAATGAATTGACTATATTAATTCGGGGAAACGTCGAAAAACTGTAATTATACACCATCTGCAGGAATTCCTGTTAAAATTACTCAACGTTTCTCATACCGAATAGTTGTAACGTGCTATTTTTAATAAACGAATCTTATTGAGCACATTTATCAATATGCTCTTGATTAATATCCGCTTTTTGCCAACGAGAATTGATGATTTCGCTCGTTAGGCTTCGTTTATGTAAAACAGAAACAATTGTGTCTAAAAATACTGGCTGCCACACGTATGGTTAATGGATGATCAGGGATTTTGCGGATTTTTCATATGAGGCAAACGCTAAGATCCAGTAGGTGCCACTTGAGCGACTTGCGACCGGCCTTTGACAATGTTAAAAATGTGAAACGCTTTTTGTGACTGGGTACACTTACTCTCAATATGGTGACCTTTAGCTAATAAAAACGGCAATGTGTACGGCTTTATTTCGCCTTTTAAGTAGCGAACCATTGAAACAATTAAAAGTGTGTGGTCACTGTGGACGCGATTGCGTAGGCAGGCAAACAACACGTAATATCGACCATCTGTTAATAAATGGTTTTCTGCAAAATTCTGGGTCATCGATTTAATAACTGAAATCTCCCAGAAATGGATGATTCTGTCTAATTAGCCTTAACCGCTAGTTGAGCAGCAAGTGCTCCCTTGTGATTGGAGCAAAAACATCATGATGTTAAAGCACATGTTGAAATCAAATATTAATCAAATTTAGTATGTTTATTGAAAGCCTAAACAAATTTAGTACTGGATTAAGAATGACCATTAGTAGAACACTGCACCCTGGAAGTTAACACTCCTACACCAAATGGTATAACATGGTAATAAGTTGAAGATGCTGCGTCGTTGGTTTTTATTTTATTAGTCTGGGGTGGCTTAACAAGACGTGGTGCATGGTCAAATTTGTGTGCAGTGGGAGTAACAGAACAGAGAAAAAGTAAACAGCAAGCAACTAGACGAAGGCGATTTTTCCAACAATCTGGATGAATTCAAGTGTCTAGATTACAGTCCTTTAGAAAACCACGACTCACTAAACCACATCCAAAGAAATGAATAAGTAGTGATTGGGCGGCGCATATTAGAAAATGGTATGTATGTCCGACGCTAGCTAAGAAATACCTTTGGCGCCGTACGTCGTGCCTAGCAGGCCCGGTGTATAGTTAAATCTGGAGTTGGCATCGATAGAGTACATTTGCCCTGAAACATAAAGTAAAAACACAGTTTGGATGGGGTTCATCATCAGGAGGGCCACACTACTAAAGCCTGGAAACGGTGGATCAAAACAAAGCGTCAAAAAAATTGCCTGCAAACAAATCAAATCGCAGTCGAGTCAGAGGATTTTTACCTTGCCAGTAGTAGCTTCCGGGGGCTCCCACAAACAGTCGGTCTCCTATCTGGAATGGATACAAAAAACAAATTAGTGATGAATTTTACAGATGGCGGTTTGCTAACTAGGAAGGAATAAACTTGAAGCCCATTGATGTAAAATGTCGTGCTGTTAATAGAGTTTTAAACAGCAGAAGACTAAGTTTTTGAAAAATTGACCTTAATTCATGTCGATTATTTAAATTATGGACCGATTATGCAGACAATTAGAACGTTTAACAAATCGCAAGCAGACGCTTTGCTTTGGGTTGAGTTTGAGGTGGAATGTTCGAGTTTTCATCCCAGATTTAAGCAACTATGTGGAGTTTGAGAGCGATTATTCAAATATATAGTGGATACATATTCTGGAGTTGAAGCGGAAATGTGAAGCCAAGAAGATGAACTTGAAGTCTCAACTTAGATCTCAAAACCTTTCGGGTTTCAACTGGTAGTGTCATTTCAAGCGTACATGAACAACATTTATCAACTCTCTGTTTTTCTTTTGCAAATTTTAACTTAAGTTTAAGCTGAAAGTGCAAGGTTGCAGTCGAAATACGTACCGAAATTTTAGGCTGAAGTAGACAATTTTAGCTCAGAAAATCAACATTTTCGTATTTTTTTTGTTTTTGACACATAAATCGAGTGTAAATTGTGTTTTTCGATTTAAAGCACATAATGACGACGAAACAGTGAAATCATGAATTTGAATGTCAACATTTCTAACAAAGAAACATGCATTAAGAAAGTTTTAAAGTGAAGATTTCAAATTCAAAATGTTCACATTTTTCCCATAATTTTGATATTATAGAAATTTCTATGACGAAAGTTGCACACCTAAGTAGCAAATAGTTAAACTGCAGTCCCATGCAGCGATTTTCGATGATCCGACAATGCGACGTTAGATATTGAATTATTATAATTGTTGCTTGCTATTTCATCGTAGGCTTTCTGGATGTAAAATAAACCCGCTCAACGCTTTACTTTAAATCAGATATAAAATCGAATATATTACTAAATCATATTAATCACATAACAAATATTCCTGTACTTTTTTCTGTTTTCGGAAAAATTTATTTTTTTTACTGTTTCCCGAAGAATTTAAAATAATTTTCAATTTTCTCATAAGATAAAAATATTTAAATAGCCTGCCATTTTTAAACTAATACAAGCATTCATGAGACAACACTCTCTTCATGAGACAACTCTAGAGATGCTGAAAGTTTCGAACAGGGAGCGCAAAATGCTGAATTTTGCCAGCAGTTAAATATGGGGCGCAAAATTAGTAAAAATTCGTTCGTTAGCAAATCCTTTTACCCCACTGTGTATTTTCCACTCTAAAATTTTTCACCTTCCAACCTAAGGCAAGTGAGAAATTGAAATTTTCTTCATCGTTAGAAGATTCTTAATTCTAAACATCCAGAAAGTTTTTTTAGATTTAGCCAAAATTCTGTTTTTTTTGCCAGCCTGGCAAATATGAGTTACAAAATCAGTAAATCTCCGCCTATAACTAATGTATATACTCCACTGCGCTTTCTCTTTTAAAAATTCGCATTTTGCATACTAAAGCAAGTAGCAATTTGCATTTTTCACCATCTTTAGAAGACACTTTAAACTGTAAAGAACCTGAAAGCTTCATAAATATAGCCCTAGAATCTGATTTTTTTCAGCTCGGTAAATATGGGTTGCAAAATTGGAAAATTAGACCATCACGTTGTTTTTTGTTAATTCGCATTTTGCAATCTAAAGCTAGTAGCATATCGGAATTCTCGCCATCTTTAAAATACACTTGACTTTAAATATTCTGAAAGTTTCTTTAAAATAGTCAAAACTCCTGATTTTGGCCAGCTGGGATGCAGAATTAACAGGTCGTCTCATATCAAATTTTTCTAATCCACTGCGTCCTCGCCTTTAAAAATTCTCACCTTCCGAACAACAGCAAACAGGATTTTGAAATTTTCAGGACCTTAAGGCGATCCACCACTCTAAAGACCCTGCAAGTTTCATCAAAGTCTACCAAAATCCCGATTTTTTTCTGCTTAGCAAATATCGCTCTCAAAATTAATGGTTAATCGTTCTAAACGGTTTTCAAATTTTTCAAAACTTCAAAAAAGAACCCCGGTGGTATCGTCAGGCCATCGGAAATCGGATACATGTGACTTCAGCTTGAACATAACAAATTCAGGAAAAGTAAATTTTTTTGTTGGGATTACGCTCGTAATGTTAAAATTTCAGTTTAAAAATTCAGTTTAAAATTTCAAACGTTTATCGCGTTCGGCTTGAAGAAATAAAGATTTAAGCAACATATGGGGGTTTATATTATAAAGTTTTCCGATAAAATCAAAGTTTTAAGTACAATTTGAACAGTTTCAACCAAATTTTGAGTAATTTTTTAAAATTCCACTAGTTTTTAGTTTAATTTTTAGAAGAAGCAATTTCGAAATCAAACTAGTATTAAACAAAATGAAAGTGGTGATAGTCACCTTTAAGTCGGAAACTTGTAAATTAACTGGAAATTGTAGTTCGCGACATTCCAAAAGTTCAGGACTTCTTAAGATTTAACTTCGATGCAAAGTGCAAACGAAATTCCGAGTGGAAATTTTGAGTTTTAACATCGCAATTTTCCGTTTAAAGTAGGGATTTTCTGCTCAATTGTTAACATTTCGTGATTGTAGTTCAATTCTTCCATTTCAACTTGCAATCGTTCAAAATGTAAAACCTCAATCCTCAATTTTCTTGCTTGCTCTAGCAGAACAGTTGTAGAAATGCGCATTTTTTTAACCAGCTTTTGAGTGTTTCGAGTCCATTTATTTTTTTATTTCAATTCGCGCTTTTCATAAATAAGACGTTCCGACAACATATTACACAAGAAGAGGTCCTTGAGAGGTTTAGAGTTCAATTGAGATGTTGCCTGTTAAAGGTGCCCTAATTTGGACTTTAGCTTAAATATTTCGAAACTGAAAGCGAAATATTGAGTTTTCATTTGTAACTTGAACCACAATGAAAAAAAATTGAGCTTCTGTTTCAAATTTCTAATTCGACTGGGCAATTTCCCTTAGTTCTTAAAATGCATGAGATTGTTGATTGTTGGAAAAAACATTTCAAAATACTTCGGACCCAAAATTTCAAACTGGATATTGATACTTTCAAGTTTCATCTTAACGTTGTGGGTTTATGGCAGACATTTACACGTTTGGCCTACATTTTAGACTTGTTTGAGTAGAAGTGTTTCGGGTTTCAAGTAAGACCATCCAGTTCAAGAACGATGTTTTCATAATTAACTCGATATTTTAGAAAAGAAAATGTTAATTTTCAGGTCCCAATTTCGACGTATTCTTTTCAAACTCGACAAACCATGATGTTTAAAGATCCAAATGATTCATTTTTTGTGTACGATTTTGTAGGACCAGCGAACGCAGCGAGCGAAGCAAGAATGTTCAGACGAAATTTAAGAGAGTTGATTTTAAAGCCAATATATCGGAGATCAAAGTCGAAAATTTAAATTTAGAGCTGATAGTTTTGGGTTAAAATTTTGCAATTTTGACTTGCCTCAGGCATATTAAATGGAACTTAATAAGAATATTCGAAGGCAAGGAAAAACCTTTTTTTGTACTGCATTTTCTTACCTGAAAGTCGATATAAAAGTCGATAAGTCGATCTGAAAGTTTCTAACATGAAAAATTTAAATTCTGCTGCCTGACTGTACTCAACAGAGTAACAATTTCGTGTTTGTGTAAACATTTCGATATCAAACTCGAATTTTCCCATTGACCGTAAAAAAGTCTGGAGTGATTTTTCCGAATTTCAACTCAAAGGAAAGGAAAGAACACATTTCCTTTTAAATATTGAAAAAGTTTCCAAAATATTCCTATTCAGGTTGAAATTTGGAGAATTTTTGAAAATTAGCACTCTGGCAACCATCAGTCAAATCTCAATTGATTTTTTTGACCAATCAATCACTGAGTCTCTAAGCTCGATCTAAAAATCTCGATCC